AGTACATTGAGCATTATTCACCATTTGCAACCGAAAGAGATGGAAATTAAGCCGACAATGACCAAACCTTAAGCGAAAAATCGTCGTATAGAATTTTCTATTCAAAAAGCTATTTGATTTGCAGAACCATGGCAATTTGTTTACATCAACATAAAGAGGTGTGTACCATAGACCTTTACCTTTAACCTGTACTATACAATTCCAATGGGCTCGCCACTCTTGGTGCATTCTTTCCTTTAGCAGAACAATCAAATCTGTATAAGGTATAGACATCTTCTGAGTATTGGTTTCAGTAGCTAGAGTATTGATAGATTTTGCTAGATAATCTGCATTTTCATTACCTGTTACACCAATGTGAGACGGAACCCACATGAAACTTACAATTATATTATCAACATTGTATAGATCATACCAGACTTCTTTAATAGCATGAATAATGTAATTGGTGTTTGCACTTAATTTATTGTTTTCTAAGTTTTTGAGCACACTCATGCTATCACTAAGTATTAGCCATTTTTTATGTCCTTGATTTTGGTGTTTTATGTGTTTCAGAGCAGCCAAAATTGCTAGAGCTTCTGCAGTGAATACAGAGGAATTTTTGTCTATCTTGTAACCTAAACCAGATTTTATAGAGCTAACGTAAAAAGAAAAAGATGCACTTGAATCATTTTTTGAGCCATCTGTATAAATATGTTTATGATCAACCCAATTTGATAGTTCACCAAACACCTCCTCTTTAGTAGAAAGCTCCTTGTAGATATTTATGTCAATTGATGGAAATTTGCTCTCAAAATGCCCTTCATAGCATGGTAAGATTGAAGGCTTATAAATGTTGGAATTTTCGAGAAACTGAGTGAACTGAGGAAATCCTTGCATGATATACAAAGGCCTACCTGCCAGTGATTGTGATAAATATGAAATATTTTTTAAAAGTTGATTATTGTTTATTGAGAATAGCTTCAAAAGGAATCTTTCCTTTAAGTAACTAAATCTTATTGAAATGGGAGAAAGATTACACTCAATTTGCATAACATTAATGGGAGTGCTTTTGAAAGCACCAGTTATCAAACGCATACTTTTATTTTGAATTTTGTCTAGGATATCTACAATTTTGTTGTCATGAGCAAAACAAAAAAAAGCATACTCAAAATGGCTGCGAATCAAAGACTTATACAGTAACAACAAGATCTTAGGATCAGCTCCCCAATATGTAGAAACTAAAGATTTTAATATGTTTAAAGCTTTGTTAGCCCTAGTTGTTATGTGTTCAATATATTTTTTCCAAGATAAGTTGTGAGTTATTAAAACACCCAAAAACTTTGTGTCTAATGAAACTGGAATAGCAACATTGTTATAGTAAACAGTAGGCATCAAAGATCTATTTTTCCCAAATACAAGCAGTTTTGATTTTAATGGGTTAATATCAAGATTTAAGTATGTAAAATATTGATTAAGATTAAATAAGGCACTATTAATTTTATTTACTAAATTTGTAATTTTATGATCGGAAGCATATACTACCAAGTCATCAGCAAACTGTAAATTTTTGACATGTCCACCCAGAATTAAGTTGAGACGTCGGATATATAATATAAAAACAAGAGGAGATAAAATTCCTCCCTGACAGACACCAACAGAAGCCAACCGTGGGCCATATAGGTAACCATTATTCTTAACAAAAACTTTTCTTTCAGACAAGAACTTTTGGACCCAATGAACAAGTTTTGGTGGTATACCCACTGAAGTTAACTCATTAGAAAGCACATCAACATTGACACTGTTAAAAGCTCCCGCAACATCAAAGAATACAGACACCATAGTTTGATTTTTTACTAGACAATTTTGGATGTCAAGTTGTAATTGGCAGATACTTTCACGAGATGAGCGACCTCTTCTAAATCCAAACTGATTCGAAGGTAAAATGCCATTTTTTTCCACATAGAACTCCAATCTTTGCTTTAGTAGTTGTTCAAAAATTTTTCCTACACATGAAGTTAGTGCAATAGGGCGATAAGAATCTTTATCCAATTTAGGCTTATTAGGCTTTAAAATAGGAACCAAGCAATCTATTTTCCAACAAGGTGGTATGTCATTGTTTTCCCAAAGATGATTTAAAACCTTCAAAAATATCTGCAAACTAGAATCACTAAGAGTTTTCAACATTTTATAAGGGATACCATCCAATCCAAATGCACTTTCTCTTCTGGAGGAGACTGCGTTTTTCAATTCTGTTATTGTAAATGGTTTTATTAAAAAGAGGTTGGTGGAATTTGATTGAGATCTATTGTAGGAACAGTCCTGATGAGTAGGTACATAATCAGGAGTATATTTCTTAAGAAAAGGTAAAACCCAGCTGTCACAGTCTGGATGACTTAAAATAAAAGATTTATTGAATTTACGCATATATTTCCAGATTACAGTAAGAGGGGTACAACGATTGAATGAACTACACAAATCAGCCCAGCTTTTTGATCTTTCAGTTTTAAGGGTGAGTTTTTTTAAAGCTTGCAACCTTTTAAATTCCAAATAGGTTGTTTCTGATGGATTATTTTTAAATGTAATATATGCTTGTTTAGAATTACTCACAGCAACTGAACAATTATTATTCCACCAAGGTAATGAGAGTCTTTTGCCAGTTTTTCTGTTGGTAGAGTTGGATTTTAATTTGGTAGGGGTTAAAGACTCTGTGGCTGAATAAAGAATTTCACAAAATAGTGTATAAGCCTCCAATGGGGTGTATGATTGAACACAAAACTCAGATAAAAGACTTTCAACTTTACATTGATACATTTTCCAATCAACCAGTTTAAAATTTTTGAATATTGGAAAAGTGACCTTATCATCCATGACATTATTGTTATTACAATCTTGTTGGTTGTTGACATTGAGACTAATATTTGTTTTTACAGGTAGATGATAACTGCCGAGAGGATCATCATGAACAGACCATTCACAAGATAAAGCCAAAGAAGGACTAACTATGGTCAAATCTAGAGCATTGGGCCGCCAAGTTAAAGAGCCAACTGTGGTTGGTTGCCCATCATTAAGAAGAATCAAGTTATTTTCATCAATGATATCCAGAATATCTCGACCACGAGGATTTGTGGAATTACAGCCCCAAGAAGAGTGATGACCATTAAAATCACCTGCAAAAATCATCGGACCAGGGATAGATTTTATAAGAGAATCTAATTTGCTTTTACTAAAGGCAGGATTAGTATTTGGAGGACTGTAAAAGCTAACAATTGATATATCTTTATTTCTTATTGTAATACGAATACAAATATTTTGCAAAGTATTATCAAAATTTGTATTGATTTTAGTATAAACAATGTTATTGCGAATTAATATTGCAACTCCATTATGTATATTATCAGAATCATTTCTTTCTATGTTGTAACCTTTTATTTTGAATTGTTGATTCGGTCTTAGCCAAGTTTCTGATATTAATGCTAAATGAATGTTGTGTTCATAAAGAAAATTTGTAAATATGAGCCTACTGCTTACTAAACTCTGAGCATTCCATTGTACAATATTTAAGTTAGCCATTTTTATTTTTGGAAGGTATTTTTCTGAATGTATTATGTAAATTTTCTTTTATAGTATTACTATTTATAGGTACATTCTTATTAGATACTATATTCATTATTGTTTCTACTAATAAATTCATAAATAAGTCTGATTTTGATAAATTATTTAAATGTGTTTCTATCGATTTTTCGGCAAGTTTGGGAAATGATTTTTCATTAAACAGTTCTGAATACTGCACAGCTCTACTTTTAATTTTGTTGTCTTCGATCTGTTGCTTTTTAATTGGACAAGAGGATGAGATGGCTACGTGATTACCTCCACAGTTAGTGCACTTTGCATTTTCTATATCAACAGTACAAGATTTATAATTATGATTTGTCGAACAAATTGAACAGACTTCATTATTGCGACAAAACTTAGCAATGTGACCGAAACGCATGCAACGTAGGCACTGCTTAACAGGTGGAACGTATGGACTGACCTCGTGTCTCCAATGGTCTAGATATACGTATTCTGGCAACTGAGTAGAGGCAAACGTTACTGCGACTGTTTGCGTGGGCTGGTACGAGACTGCACCAGCATCCCCCCGCACACGCCGCATGAACCGCCGGACTTGTATAATGTTTTTGGAGCTACCTATCAAAGAGAAAATGTTTTTATTTGACAATTCGGTAGGGACAGATTTTAGCACACCGGTTACTTCAGTGTCCTTTGCTGGAATGGTGGCCACTACGTCCAACTCTTCCAAAAGTTTAGCATTTTGTAAAAAAACATTGGCATTGTTCGAAAGATCGAACGTTATGCCGACTTTATACCGATTAACCGGCCTTAAATGTAAAACACCGGACACGCAATGTGTTCGGATGGCTTTTGAAATTTTTATTCTGTCTTTGTCCGTAAATGGCGTATCATAAGTTTTGTGAGACAAAAACACAACAAACTCTGTTTTATCTGCATTTTCAGGATATTTCCTTTGATACCCAGTTACTTTAAAGATCTTGAATTTCTGAGAGGTCTCAGACTCATCGTCCGAAGAACGACGACTATCATCGCCACCCCCAAAGTCTTTTTTCCGCTTTTTCGTACTAGCCATTTAACTTCTATATACCTATATTTGAATTGAAACACTATTTACATAAAACTATACAAGAATACACAAAAAAAAGAGAAAATTAAAATTAATGCAAAAAAAATCTTCAAAGCGCGCCTTTCCTCTTCGAAGGTTCCCGCCGAAAAAACCAGCACTGTTGACTGATAGCACAAACACAGAGCTCCGTTCTAAACCTACGTTCAATTCTTCAATTGTTGTTCGAAGTTCTAAACGCAATTTTTCACCTTAAGTCTATTTTGACATTAAAGCCTCTATTTATGACATGAGGCGAGTTACAAGCTGCTAGCAAACCCGCTGGCTTGTATCTTGTAAACTTATTTTCTATGTGAAAATGTCAATAAACGTCATCTGGAGCGTAGATTTGGAACGTATTGGAACGCAGCTTTGTAAATGTAATGGCTTTGTAAATTCCGACAGGATGGAAAGCTTTGAATTCATTAAATTTGGGTCGAATACTATTTAATTGTTATTTGTTGGATTAGTTGGAAAGGAAGACCGGCAGATTTATCTCCCAAATCTGTGGTGCATGCAAAATCATTCATTGTTTATTTTTCAGTCGGTGCGAATTTGAAGTAGTAAACCCATGTTAAAGTTGAGTAAACCAGAAAAAAACTATTAGATTTAGATAATGTTGACGTGACTATCTAAAATAATAATGACCGAAAAGGCGGAGAAAATTTACCGCACAATGAAACTACGGCGCAGATTTTGGAAACGTTTGTTTCTAATAGCAATCATGTTTGGTGTTTCGTTTTATGTTTCTGTGTTATTATTTGGTGACTTGAAGAGCCCTAGAGTTATGAATCTCACTGATTTAGATCGTTGTCCTGCTTGTTATGGAGTTTCAGTTTGCCCTGAGTTATATTCTAATCAGATAATATTGGAATCCGGTCATCACTGGGGCAATTTATTCAATGCAAAAAATATTTACTACGGATACACAAGATCGAATCGAAGAGTTGTGCTAAAGAAACTAGCACACGATTGGGAGCTCAAAGAGTTAGATACGAAACTATGTAAGAATTGGAACTTAGAACGAGGATGTAAGCCAGTCCAACTACTTAACGCTACAAATGCTGATGAAAGAATAATAGGGCTCATCCAGTATAACATCTCATGGCCTGATACTGAGCCACGAAAGGGTCTGGTACTGTGTCCCTATACCTACAGTTTCTATGACTTTATACAACCCGTTTTGAACAATAAAAAGTCAAATAACTATAAGTCTGATATGATTAACGTATGGACTATGTTAAATATCAATCCAGAGCCTATAATTTTACAGGTATAATATAAACTGTAATAGAGTTTATTTTGAGTTATTGAAAAGATGGAAATAATTTCCTTTTCCATACCTTTGCATAGTTGAGGAGCTGGCGAACAAAACGGTAGAATTACATCAAATTAAATTTTACAGGAGCAGTAAAAAATTGAATGACATACCTACAGTGAGCTTTTGGCGTGATTTTAAATTCAGTTATTTTAACACTATTTTAGGCGGTGTTGATTGACATGAGTTGAAATTCAAATTCAGCTGGCCCAAAACCTCTGGGCTGTAAAAATAATATATTATATGGGTAAAACCATATGCGTAATTATACCGTTTTGATTGCCAGATCCTCAGTTACTGTATATTTCTGTGTGAAATAATCAAAGTTTATATCTTTTGATCATCAGGTGATACCCAAGTCAAAGGGTTGGCCGGTTCCTTCTTTTGGTGGTGTTTGTGGCCGGCTTGAAGTAGTTGCGCATGAGGGTGAACCTCTCTCTTCCCTGTTACATATTGAGTGGCACAGGAAGTTGAAGTTTGCAAAAGCTATTTTGGAAACTGCAATGGACTTCACTTTCAAGCATGACAGGTTGTTTATTTATTATATAGTCATTTCTCATTAATAAATACACAAAATTGGGAATCAATTCTGAACTTATATTCACATTGTGATTTAGGGATGCAACAATACCGATACAAATATATCGGCCATTATAGTAAGTTTTTACAATGTTTCATTATCTTAAATATTTTGATACAATATATATGATTCATTCTTTTCCAATATTTTTACCTTTTTACAGTAGTTACTACAGTTTGGAGTGAAACAAAATGCGTTATGCCGCAGAATACATTTCGTGTATTTGAAACAGAAGTAACTACAGTAAAAATTTACAATGTCTGAACACACGCATCCCTTTTTTTACATTTGACAGCTTTAACACAAAAAATAAACAATTCAAATCAAAAAGATAACTTTAATTATAAAATTAAATAAATTTAAAAGATGTAATGAAATTTTTTTACTAAGTCTTAATATTGATATAATAACAGACTAAATGATACAAACAAAGCTTCAAATAAATTCAATAAAATGCTAAATAACAAAAATCATGCTGCATTTGTATCGTAATCTTTTATTGTATTCTTCTATTATGATGTATTTGTCATTAGTATTGGTATACTTATAGCCATAACGTTGCATCCCTAGTATTGATGATATGGATTATAAAAAACTTAATATGATAAAACTATATCATAATAAAATAAAATAAAAAAGCCCTTATTAAAGTTACCAGTTTACAAAATATGTTTAGTGGTAAACGTAGAGCGTCAGTGACACAAGGCCTCCCACAGCCTCTACAAGATGTCCAGCCGATGCTCCAATCTTTGGAAAAATCCTGCTTCCAATCTTCGCTACTCAGATCTGTTTAGGGTTATTTTTCTCCAGTAAACTCCCACCATCTGTTTAATCTCATAGTCTCAAAGTATATCATACTTTTACCCACATGTCTGGGGTTTTGAAAAGATTTGTCACACATATGCAATTTAGACTATCAATGGTAGCCCTAGTCAACACTGATTTGAGAATGTTATATAAATTTCATCCTTTATGGTCCTTTTATTACAGATTTCGTTTCTACCTCATGGACTGGTCTTTGGACAATATAGTAGCAAATGAAAAGGATGACATAACTTTTGTGGACTTGGAAGACTTTGTTATATTAGACAAACAGATATCACCAAAAAACGACTTGCCCAATTGGTATCAACGTTACTCTAAAGAAACCAGTCCTGGTTTCACATTCTCGATAGAGAGTATGTGTAAACATCACCTCAGCGACCACAATATATGGGCAGCATGTTATATATTGGCTGGAGAAGAAAACCCACTACTATATCCTATACCAAAAGATGTCAATTCGTCAAGACCCCATTTCCACAAATTGTTACTTGAGTGCTTGAATGGCGATGATAGGTTTCGCACAATCACCAAGTTACAACATGTCATTACAGATATGTTGTTAGATGAGAAAATTGTTGGATTTGGTGCAGTAAGATGATAAGTATGTAGTAACAGCAGAAGGACAAAGGAAATCAATAATAATGGTAATTTACAAAAAAATTGTGTTATCATTAATACGGTAATATTTGTAACAAAATATTACTGAACTGTTTTAAATAAATGATTTGAGTATTTTTTGAAGTTATACTTCTTTAGGCGCGTTCTGAAAAATTGTTGAGAGTGAAATTTTAAGATGCGCGCGCATCATGTAACACAAAAAATTAACACCATGAAGTTGGTCGCTTTAGCGACCGCACCGTACCCATGCGCGGCCACTCGCGGTCCTAGCGCGGGAAACACGTGCAACAAACATCGGGAAAAGTTACGAGTTTTGAATTTAGAACAGAGACTGTTTTCATATCTATATATATAAAAATGAAACCCGTTTTCCGTTGTCACGACATAACATGAAAACGGCTTGACCGATTTGGCTGTTTTTTTTTGTAGTTTTCTAATACTCTGTACAAGGTTCTTACGGAAAAAAATATAAAGAAAATCCCAAGGGGATAAAATAAGGAATGAAAGTTTGTATGAAACTTTATCAATTTTAAACCGATCGGGCTGAGACTTTGCATGCAGGTATAAGAAGAATCATAGATGAATGTCATTGTGTATAATACAAGCCTGAGAACAAAAACTGTAGTCTACACTTCAGCTCTACACCGAAGCGAAGCGAGGGCGGGCCGCTAGTTTATAATATTTATCCACATGTTTCTAGTTTGTATATTCGGAATACGTGTTTGAGTTTCATACAAGTGCAAATCACATATGTTCTAATAAATTATATTCAGTAGCGATTTTAATTGAATATTTTGATTATTTATTTATTTTTTCAAATTAAAACTGAACTTTATTAACTGTGTCCTTTTCCAGACTTTTTATTAATTTATTGTAATTAATTATTTGCATGCAATTAAAAACTAATTTTAAACGATGCCAAAGAAGGATAACTTCTCACGCGCCTACATAAGTACACGCACCCATTTTTTTAATATGTCGTATTTTACTATTGTTACATATAGGACCACCTATCTATACTAATATTATAATTAAATGTGGAAGTGTGTCTATGTATCTGTCTATAAACCCTTGACGCATTCACTGCTGAACTGATTTAGATGGAATTCGATATAAAGATAGTTTGAGTCCTGGGGAAGAACATAGAGTAGTTCTTTTTGGAGTTTTCTCCTTAAGAATCGATTTGCATATATAAGGGGCCCGGTATGAGAAAAATGTGAGGAGTAAAATCTTTTGATGAATGACATTAATGACCTCGTTACGTTTTTCTCCTCCTCCGCGCACCTTTCACTTTTAGCCATGGCAACGAATAAAAAACATTAAGTTGTCACAAATGTCAATAAAATAAATAAACTAAAAATAGATAAAAATCGGAGCAAAATTAATGAAAACAAATAAATAACAGAATATAGAGAAATGCCGGTAAGTGTCCAGCACTCTGGAATAGTGATGTGACCAGAGAATGTTCTCCAATCGAGAACTTTCTCGTATCGAGAATATTCTGAAATGTTTCCGTTCGACCGAGAATGTTCTCGGTACACTAGAAATTTATGAGAACTTAAAATGATGTTAATTTATGTAGAATAAGAACGATATAGTTTCAAGTTTTGTAATGAAATTAGTTCGTTTTGTACCATAACAACTTATTCAATTTACAACAACACCAAAGGGTGCCTCGGCGATCGGCTTTATTGAAGTTGAACTTTTGAATTCCGACAAACGACACGCGCCGCGCGGCTCTTTATGATTTCTGCTCCCGCACCTCCCCTCCCCGTCTTGCTGCACGTACACGTACACGACGCTCGGTTAACGCACATGCTAGTACAGACTCGCACCGTAAAGTGTTCGGACGTGATCAACAAAACGAAACAGAATAAAAAAAAATATATTGAAAATGAAACCGAAGGGAAAGATTTATAATTATTATAAAGAAATAGATGAAAATGGAAAAGTGTTGTATATATGCGAATTTTGTAATCAAAGTTACAAAAATCGAAATGCAACGAGAATGACTAATCATTTAACGAATAATTGTAACAAATGCCCCGACGACGTTATAAAATCGACATTTAGTTTATAAAGCATTCTCAGAATTAGATGAGTTGATACAAAATCCAACAGGGGCAGAAATTCTAGGGACCAATTTTCACTCTACGTTAAAACTAAAATATGAACAAAGAAAAAAGATCATTAATGCCAATACATTGCGCTGCGACGTTGTTAGATCCTCGGAATCGTGGGGCCATGCATAAACCTAATGAGAATATTGACGGATGGCAGTTTGTGATAGCAGTCGCGGAAGAACAGCAGCAACCCATAGAACAGATGATGCAAGAGGTATCAGACTACAAGTGTGGAGCTGGACTTTGGAGCAAAGAATTTGTATGGCAAACAGCCAATAAAATGAGTCCATTGGCATGGTGGAAATTACTTTACTATAAAACCTATCTAGGGACAATTGCTATTAAAATATTGACCGCTCCGGCAACTTCTGCTGCAGTAGAACGTTCGTTTTCAACCTTTTCAAATATACACACGAAGAAAAGTTGGAAACTATTGAAAAGATTAAATAGAGACGATTCAAGAACAAATAAAACATTTGATCAAGAAATACCGAGTACATCTTATGAAGGGGATCGTGCAAGTGATTCTGAGACAGAATCTTTTAATTTAGACTCTGATTCAGAAATATCTGTGGTCGAGGAGGAACCAGAAGTAGTCATGGAGATGAGTGATTATGAGGATGACGATCCATTAGCTGGAATTTGAAAATATAGATACTAATCAGACCAATCAGACGAATTCTAGAAGATTAATTTTAATTTTATTACCTATTTACCTTTAAGTTCTGCATGTTTCATACTTTTCGTATCAGACAGTTATGTTTTTAAATATATATTTAATAAATGTTGATTATGATATTTGGTATTTTATTACTATTTTACATAACAATTGTTATTATTCTCTACTAATAAATAAATAATAACTTAAATCACTTATGATAAATTTTAAATAGACAAATATTGGAAATATCAATCGGGGGGCGGAGTTGATTTTTCCAATATTTATATGTTTATCATAAGTATAAAAATAACATTGAAAAATGCAAAAGTAAAAAAATCATAATTAAATCACAATAGTCTTGAAATATTTCCGAGAACATTCTAGAAAGTTCTCGAGAACATTCTCGTAGTCGGGAATTTACCGGGAATTTATATAAATAACTGGGTTTTTATTAATCCAGTCTGCATATTACGTATATACATATAAACATCTATTAGTCACATTGTAAATCCTACCGAAAAGTGACTTCACTTTTAAAGTTCTCATAAATTCTCGGTCAGAAGCACGGAGGAAAAACAAAGAGGAGCTGGCCTAAGCAACTGTGCACTGTGATTTTCAACTAGGTCCTGACGTCATCATTGTGGGCGGGGCCTAAGTCAGTATGCTTTCAGCGTTCGTCAGGTGCACACTTAACGAGACTCGCATTATAAGTGTTTTTTTGCGTTTTTAACAAGAAAAGGATGAAGTTTTGTGTTTTACTATGTCAAAGTTACTCAGACAGACGTTCTGATAATATGGATGGCATCACATTTCATTTGTAAGTAATTTTATACGTAATTAAATATATAAGTTCTAGAACATTCTCAGCCTCAGCTATCAGCGTTAAAATTCTACTACTTGACACCAGATGGCGACACTTTTAGGAAGAAAATACACAAGTTTACGTAGTAAGTAGTAAGTAGTATATTGTAATAATCATACGTAAATACTGAAAACTGTTATACACTTATTCCTAAATAACTTTTAGTATCTAAAACAGTAATTTTATCAATATATTACTAACTGGCCGCCATCTGTCGTCATATAGAATAACTTTTTAAACGTTACAAATATCCAGGGCCGTAATACGTATTAAATTATTTTACCAAGTAAATAAATTTTAATTATTTTTATGTTCGTTTTAGATTTCCATCCAACGATAATTTAAAACAGCAATGGATTTCAAAACTTAATAGACCGGATTGGACACCATAGAAGATCCAAGATCAAATGTGAGAGCTGTCTCAAAGAATTATATGCTGATAACTACGACGATAGTGACCTTGATTTGATAAAAACTAAAAATAAGGGTGGTCTTACTTTCCCATCTAGAGATGTCATAAAAATATGTATACGGACCGAAGGCAGTATTCGTTGTGTTAAATCGCAATCTTTGAATACTCCTAACTTTCGTCAACATAAAATTGTATCGAATACATTAAAATCACTTATTGGACAAGATTGTTTCAAAAAATCGGCCAACCATATGTTTGACCAATCACCTACAGTTAATCATGTTGTATTTCTGATGAAATCGATTGCAGAAAAATATATTGATATTCGTTTTAAGCATTTTGCCACAATACAAAACGATAGGGCAACCAACCGACAACCACTAACCAAAACTATTATTTACAGGTAATTGATGTTTTTTAATAAAATTATGTTTGTAATAACATTTTATTATTTTTAAACTACCTTAAAATTTAAATCTAAAGAAAATATAACTAGAAAAATATCCACGCGGACCAGGCAGCAGACGGGAGCGGGTGCGGGTTCGAGTCCCGTCTGCTGCCTGGTCTGCCTGGATTTTTTTTCATCAAGCCGTTACATGTTTTAAAATAATAAAAATTATACCTTAAAAATTTTAAAATCGGTCAAATTTGTTAACGTTTATTTTATTTATTTACCTACATATTTCATTTTTTTGAAGCTTCAAGTTCTGAGTACGTCCCATTATATACAAAACTTTTGAACACCTAGTGTTAGATAGCTGAACTACTACCTAGTAACATAAATATCAACCCAAGCTAGTTTTGCTATTAGCCGATAGATGAAATATTGAGAAGTGGGCGGAGCTGAACACCTCGCATCCCGCAAATTATCACGCGTCGTTTCTTGAGGAAATTTAATCACCACACCTCCTCTTTGTTTTTCCTCCGTGGTCAGAAGAATGTTCCCGAGAACTTAACCGCAAAGTTTCACCATAGAGAATGTTCTCGAGAATTTAACAAC